TTATTCCAAGCAAAGCTGTCTGTCATAGATCTGAAAGCATCCGATGATAGACAGCAGCCATTTTAAACAAATTTCCCATGGGCCTCAGTGTAGAATTTTAAATATAGTTACTAAGACCAAAATGGTAAGATGTTTTACATAAAATTCCAGAGGTGGGGAGATGGCTCAGGGGGTAATATCATTTACAGTACAGGTCTATAACCTGAGTTCAGATTGCCAGAACCCAGATTATCAAAGCCAAATAAAACAGCACAACTGTATGTGATTGTAGCACACCCCTTTGGTGTGCCACACACTGACATTAACATATCCATACACATACATACACACACACACACTCCAGCGCACACACACACACACACACACACACACACACACACACACGTACACACCCATACCACTAAAGAAAATTCTTTAAAGGAGATGAACACAAAAATGGAGATCTATTATTACTTTGAACAGATCTGAACTCTTCTAGGTTAGATGGACAGTTTCATGCTTTGTTTCTTTTCATGCTGTGCTGTCCTTTTTCCTTGTTTTCTGTGCCTAACTCACTGATACTCAGTGCTTAAAGCTCTGCTATGATAGAACCTTCTCCTGGAAATTTTCCCTAAAATTCACAGCATCCACTTAGTGACAGTTTGTATCCCCCTACATTTTTATAGTCATATCTTTCTTCTTCTTGCCTGTGTATGTATGTGGGTGTCATGTGTTTGCATGTGTGTGGATAGGCCATCAGTTGACCTCCAATTTCTTTTTCAATAGCTCTCCACCTTATTGACTGACACAAGATCTCTAGAGTGAGCAAGATCTTGCTAATTGGGCTATCTTTGTTAGCCAGCATGCCCCAGGGCACTGGGATTAGGGTGGATTACAGCACTTACCCATCCTTTACATGGGTTCTCTGGATCTGAACTTAGATCCTCATGTTTGCCCAGCAAGCACTTTGTCCACTTAGCCACCTTCCCCACCCTCTTGTCATTTGTTACCAGGCTGAAAAAACATATATACATCACCTTTGTACATTTCTGCCTATAGTACTAAACTTATACATGCTGAAAACTAAGAATATATTCTTATTCATTGATCCCTATAACCAATCACAAAAGAGTCTAAGTGAATGAGAGAATGAATGAGTGAGGAAATTTTGACACCAGAAATTTATGCTTGAATCAGACACTAAAATTAGACTCAGAAGATGTAGAATAAATTAGATTAGAATCAAGTCAACCACAGATCTGAAACTGGGAAACAAACCCAAACAATGCAAAAAGAAAAAAAAGTCAATCAGTCAAATCTCTTCATTGTATAAATGTTTAGTATGTGAACACAAAGGAACAGACTCCCTCTGTCACAGAAATAAATCTCTCTTTAAATATTGAGTGACTTTCTGTAAGTTCATAGATGATGTAATAACCTTTGTGGAATAATGATTTCCTACCACAGTTGCTATTCACAGCAAGTTATTTACTAGAATTTCCAAGCAGTAAAAGCAAATTAAGTCAGTGCTGCATGTAAAATATGGTAATTGTAAATAAAAGTCCTTTTAGATTATTACTGTAATACTGTGTTTTGTGTTCACATAAAACATATATTCAAGTAATAACATATATTTAGATAATAACAGCATTACTTAATTTGATGTTAAGTAGCAATCCAAAAACGTTTCAGCTTAAATAAATAATGCTCCACCACAATAGAAATAATATCCAATAACGGGAAGAGATGTGCTCATGGAGAAGTATATAAGATGGTTATTACCAAGATGGTTACAAAGTAAAAAGGATATGTTAATAGTAATATGATACTTTTGCAGTTGAACATAAATACTAAAGCTGTATTTCATGATGTAAATTTGAACTAATTATTGTTAAAACGACAGTTAACAGGCAAGTATTCAAAACAATGTGAACAAATTTGTCACCATTTCTTTACAAAATTCCAAAACAGAAAGGTCTATATTGGCATTATATAAAAACTTTTCTGAGCAATTATTGTATTTAGTTCTAGCAACACCAATTCTTCTAAACTAAAGGACAGGTTCTCTTATTTTAAGTACAAATGATTTTGAACAAATGTCTGGCTTCAGAAAGATGCTACCTACTAGATACTAATATCATGCCAGGCATATAATTTGTGTATTTATCCAGTATATGTGTATTAAGTCCTGCCTGTGTTCTCCAAGTCTAGAATGATGGGAGGAGGCTTGGTGACCTTGATCGACAGTCAAGCTAACTGGAGAGCAACCTTTCAGTTGTTCTCATTGTGCTTTTACAGGTGGCAGGCAGCCTCTCAGTGCAGATTAGCACTTGTCTGAACCGATTGTGATTGAGCCAGGGATGCAGCTGTGTGTTAGAGTTCTTGGGAGGACTTGGTTTTGATCCATGATACCTCAAAACATTATATAAAATAACAATAAATTTTAGTGAGACTATTTCCAGCACACAGAAAGCTGGTGTAGTTTTTACAAATTGTTACACATCTAAATGTTTGTAGCACTTCCCCTTCCAGGATGATGAAATATACTATCTGTCCCTATTCCTCACAGTGAGTGAAAAAAAAATATGGACACTATAAACATTTTAAAGGCTCAGAAAGGCAGAGGAATGATCTAGACCAGAGAGGAGCCTTCAGTGTCCAGTGAACAGCACAGAAGTTAGTTTCCAAACTTTTATTTTTACCTCCTATGTCACAGAGCTCAAATCTGGAACATCATGATGCCAGTAAGTACAGATAAAACAGCTGTCCAATACATCCTCACAATGCCTTATTCCCAATTGGAGAGTAAGGATGACCAGGAAAACCATTCCTAACAAGACAGAGAGCTTTAAGACAACAGCTAGTATGCCTTGTCAAATATTACCAAACAATCAAACAGATAGAAACCCAGGTCCAGGGCCCAAACTGGCCAGGTTGTAGTAGAATGTCCCATATGCCTTTGGGGTAGTGTTAGAAAAGGGGCCTGAGCTTTCATCCCTACAAGGTGACGATGAATCCCGTCGTCCAAGTCTTCCCTGTGTCAGTAGAGACAAATGAAGACCTGGGACTCCAAACCCTTCACATCAGTTTAAATCCAACAAAGCATGCCATTATGAAATAACCATGTTTTAAATTACAAACCTAAATCTATTTACATAAATCACAGAGAATTCAAATAAATAGAGATGCACAATGTTCATTAGTTTTAAGACTGAAATGATAAGAATATCAATTCTACTTAATCAATACAGGATGAATAAAGTTCCTAAAAATCTCAACCATAATCTTTCTAGATATAGATAACTTTTCTTAAAACATTCATATAGAAGGAAATGAAACTATCTCAGTCTGGTAAGAGAAGAAGAAGCAGGGAGGCCTCAGACTATCCAAATGCAAGGCACGGTGGTAGTAATACAGACTGCATGAGCCTGTTAGAGATAGCTGGAGCTAGCATAGAACAGATACAAAATTGTGCCCAAATTATTCGCTTTATACAAACAAAATGTGAAGGGCAATCAATAAATAATAGCAACTGGACATCTACAAGCAGAAAACAAAACAAATGAAAACCTGCATCTACAATCAGACCTCTTTTACCAGAATTTAACACAAAATAGGTCACAGACTTCAATGTACAGCTTGAATCCCAAAACCATTTGGAAGATACACATAAGAAAACCATTGATGTCTAGAGTTAGAGTTTATTAGACTTCACCAAAAGCAAAAAAAAACATTTTAAAAAATTTTAAACTGAACTATATCAAAATTAGAAATGTTATCTCTTCAGGAGACTCTGTAAAAGAGAAGCTAAAGAATAAATTGTGGATTGGTGGAAAATATTCATAAATCACACAGATTACAAAGACCAGGAGCTAGAAAACTCAAAGAAATTTCAAAACATGGCATTCAAACCTAATCCATGGAAACCAGGGGCAAAAGCTGTAAAAAGATGAATCACCAGAGAGAATACATGCATACGAACAGGAAGAGATGTTCACCATCATAACCATCACAAAGATGGAGCTCTGAAGCACGTGGAAGCACCTTCTTAAAAGTAATGTCTTTATTTGTTGTGTGAGAATTTCAATCGGTGTATTTTGATCATATTATCCGCCCCCCACTCCTCCCTAACTTCCTTATCCACCCAACTTGATGTTCCTTTTATTATAGAGGCCAATTTGTGTTAGCTGGACACTCCTGAGCCTGGAGCCCACCCAAGAGTGTTGATATACCCAGTGTCACTTCACTGAAGAAAACGGTTTGTCCCTTTCTAGGCAGCTGTCAATTGCCAATGACTTCCTAGCTGGGAGTGGGGCTTCGTACCGACTTCCCTCCTCCATGCTGGGGTTTTGTATGCCTTAAGCTCACTGCACATCTGCTACACTAGAAATGGGGGAAATCCTAAATGCCTATGAGGGCACAAAGAAACAGGCTCCCTCATGCAGAGATGATGGATATGGAAGACAAAACCCCGTCCAGAGGACAGTTCAGCAAGTTCATAAAGAGCAAAAACTCATTTTTATTCTTTTTTCTGTTTTTTATTTAATTTTTACCAAATTATAATTACACATGCCAATCCCTTCTCCCTCTCCCCTCCCCCCAATCCCTATCTACCTCCTGTCTCCTCCCTCCTCCACTCCCCATGGAGAGTAGGACCCTCCATGGGGGCTCCCCAAATTCCACCAACATCATCCTGGGTTGAGCCTAGGCCCTCCCCGATGTGTCCAGGCCAAGAGAGCATCCCTTCATGTGGGATGGGCTCTTGAAGTCCCTTCTTACACTGGGGAAAAATACTAATCCACTACCAGAGGCCCCATAGGGTGCTGAGGCCTCCTCGTTGACATCCACTTTCAGGGGTCTGGATCAGTCCCATGATGGCCTCCCAGACAACAGACTGGGGGCCATGTGCTTCCCCTTGTTCAGGCCAGCTGTTTCTGTGGGATTCACCAGCCTGGTTCTGACCCCCTTGATCTTCATTCCTTCCTCTCTGCAACTGGGTTCCAGAGTTCAGTTCAGTGTATATCTGTGGGTGTCTGCCTCTGCTTCCATCAGCCACTGGATGAGGGTTCTAGGATGGCATATAAAGGAGTCATCAGTCTCATTATAGGGGAAGGGCATTTAGGGTAGCCTCTCCACCATTGCCTAGATTTTCAGTTGGTGTCATCCTTGTAGATCTCTGGAAATCTCCCTAGAGCCAGATCTCTCCTCGGACCTATAATGGCTCCCTCTGTTATGATATCTCTCATCCTGCTCTCCTCTATTCAACCTTTCTGCTCCTCAATTTCCTCCTCTCCCCTCCTCTTCTCCTCCTCACATTCTGCCAGCTCCCTCTCCCCTACCCTCATGCTTCCAATTAGCTTAGGATATCCTGGCCCTTCCCATTCTCCGAGGACCATGCATTTTTCTCTTAGAGTCCTTCTTGTTTCCTAGTTTCTTTGGTGAAGAGGATTGTAGGCTGGTAATCCTTTGTTCTATGTCTAAGTGAGGTAACCCAGTCACAAAAAGACAAACATGGTTATTTACTCAGCCACTGCATTCTTAGGCACATGCTTCAAAACTAAACTTCATGTTCACACAAAGCATGATATACCAATATTCATAGCAGTTTTATCCTAAATACTCCTAAACTAGAAACAAGTGATAATACAAACAAGCAAACAAAAAATCCACCACTTTTGTAAAATGTTTCAGATGATGAGATTACATAGATAAAGAACACATTAGGAGAGTAGGAGTATACATGTGAGTGGTAGAATGGCTTGCCAAGTATGCTAAGGATTGTGGGCTCAGTCCCCAGAACTGCTGGGGGAAGGATGAAGAAAATCAAGAAGAAAGGGGAGGTATGGGGGAAGGGAAGGGAGGGGAAGGGAAGGGAAGGAGAGAAAGGAGGATGACTTGTTCTCTCCGGGTAAAGATGGGGAGAGGCAAGAGGAGGTGGATAAGCTGATGAGGAACAGCAGGAGTAGCTCTTATGACTGGTGAAACATTCTAAGCAGCTGTGCTTGGGTCTATGCAATGACGTTATAATTCCTTAACATGATATTGTGTCCATGGCGAGGAAGCAGTGACAGTATCAGACTTAAACAGCAGAGATTCATTTCTCACACCTGGACCTGGACATGTAAGACCAAGCTGCAAGCAAATTGGTTTCTGCTAAGGCCTCTCTCCCTTTCTTAGTTCTTTTTCCTGTACCCAAAGTGGTTTTTCTCTATACCAGTGGCATTGCAGTTAGGCTCACAGGAATGACTGGATTTCATTACATTACCTCTTTAAAGACCGTGTCTTCAGCCACCAGAATGTTCTGGGTTATCTGGGCATGAAGACTTCAGCATTTGAGTTGTGGGGTGTTGGGACATGGTTAACCCTGATTCATTTGGAACTTTAGCATGAGGGTGGGGCGGATGAGAAAATAGTTGTAGACTACTCTATTATTTCTTACAACTGCATATCAACCATAATATCTCCAAATGAAAACCCTGATTAGGAATATTTGTAAAAGAATTTGATTAATAATTCAGATGTCATAGAGTTCTATGACCTTGATTAAGCAGAGAAGTAAACAGAATGAGCTCACATGATGTTTTAGTCTTCTCCATGAGATGGAGTAGAATGACTCCAGAGGAGAAAAAAACCACCAAGTGCCCCACTTCACACAGCAGACTCTTGGTGGTTTCAGTGGCCAGAATTTCTTTGTTCCTGCCAATGTTGGGCTGCATGTAGACAGACTGCAAATTCACTTCAGTTTAAAGTCGTTCAACATCAAAGTTCAAGTGGTTTAAATGCCGGTTTTTATTGATAGCCATGACTACAGCTGAAGATCAATTACCTTGGCCCACAGAACTTGGCAGCACAGGAATTATTTTTTATTTTCTTTTATTGTGATCTTTTTGTCTTAATTGGGGAATTTGTTATCATTTAAAACAGTTAAATATTTTGTCTCTGTCTGTGTTTTGCATATTTTTTAGAATCCCTATTTTAAAGTCAATTCTTTGACAATTCTTTACTTTTTCATATTTTTATTATGGATAGCTGCAGGTATACTTTTCAAGGAGTATAAAAAGTGAAAAATATAAAAAGGAAAGGTAATAAATTACTATTATTTTTATACAAATCTGTTTTCTTTTATTGAAAATAGACTTTTTATATGATAAATCCTGATTACAAATTCCCCTTTCTCTGCTCCTCCAAGTTCCTCCCCACCTCCTCTCCTGTCCAGATTCACCCACATTCTGTTTCTTATTAGAAAGCAAGCAGGCTTCTAAAGGATAATAATAAAATATAATAACGTGAAACAAACACACTGCAATAGAACAAAACAAACAAATGGACGAAAAGAACCTCACAAAAGGCACGAGAAATAGATACAGATGCAAACACCCACTTGTTCACACACTTAGGCATCCTATAAAAACACAAAACTGGAAAACATGATATACACACAAAAGACCTGTTGGGTAAGGGAAAAGAAGAGAGAGGGGAGAGGGAGTGAGGGAGGGGAGGGAGAGAGAGAGAGAGAGAGAGAGAGAGAGAGAGAGAGAGAGAGAGAGAGAGAGAAGATAAAATATTTTTAAAATTTGAAAAAGAAAAAGGTCTGACAAGACATTGTGAGACTGGAACTCCACAGATGCCTTTGAACTCATTTTCTGTTGGCCATCTACTACTGAGCATGCAGCTGACCCTTAACAATCGTTTGTTTCCCCAGTCAGCCTACCTTGGAAAAACTAAAACTAAAATTTCATTTGCAAGTGGCTATCAATTAGATAGATTCTGGGTTAGGGATGGGAATGTGTCCACTTCTCCTTTCAGCTCTGACATCATCTGGTGCAGACCCAGCTGCCTCAGTCTCTGTGAGTTCATATTGCATCAGTCCAGTTGTGTTAGCCCTTGTTTTCTTGGCGTCCTCCATATCCTCTGGCACTTACACTGTTTCTACCCCCTCTTCCTCAGGTTTCCATAAGACCTGTGTGGAGGATTTTATAGAGACATAACATTTAGCACTGGGTGTTCCAAGGTCTCTCATTTTCTTCATGTTGTCTCACTGTGGGTCTGTATTTGTTCCCATCTGCTAAAGGAGGGAGCAAGGCTCTGATCTATGAGTTTAGCAAAATATCATTAGGAGTCATTTTATTACTATGTGCATTTAGTAGAATAGTAGTTTTGGTTTTACCCTAGGTCACTGTGCTTTCTGATCTCAGGTTCTTGGTCACTCAAGCAACATTGGATATGGACTCTATCTTCTGAGTGGACCTATAATCAAATCAAATATTGGCTGGTTACTCACATAAGCTTTGTGCCATCATTGCACAAACATATCTTGTAGGCAGGACATTGTAGAAGGAAATTGTCTCCATCTATCTCTGTCCCACTGGACAGGTTTTCTCCCCACCCACTGGGTCCCACAGCTGCTTAATGAAATAACCACTCTGAGACTTAACATCAGTTACAGTTATTTAACCAATGGCTTAGGATTCTTACTGGCTACCTTTCTCTTAATTATTAATCATTACTTAATCATTACTATTAATCTGTGTATCTATAGCTGGCTAGGTGATGCCCTGGGATTCTGCCTCCCTGGAAGCTATATTGTGACTATCCTTGGTCTTTCTTTTCCTTGCCTCTTTGTTTGGAATTCCTACCTAGCTAAATTCTGCCTGTACGTTGGCCAAAACAGCTTTATTTATCAACCAATGAAAGTAACACATATTTTCAGGATACAGAAGGACCTCCCACATCAGGATACCATTGTATATAGAAGAGTCTGTAGCTCGGTTGGTGTTTACACTTCTTCTTTAGTAGCTTGTAGAGTGCCTTCCTATATCACAGGTGCTAGCTTGAAAGGGTAAAAGCTCTATGTAGGCACCAGCTTGACTTCTTCATATTTAATGAATTGTGTAGATGTTTTCTTCAGCAATAGGGCTTGCCATAAGTTGATGGAAAGCAAACTATATTCTTGGCAACAGCTTGTGTTGTTTGAAAATTCCCATGGGATCCCTTTGGCCAAATTAGATGCAACCCATTCCCACTACTGGAAACTTCATTTGGTGACAAGAGATGTCCAGTTGGGGCTCTGTCTCCCTATTATTTGCAGACTTCATTCACATCCCTGTCTTAGCTGTGGTTTCTATTGCTGTGAAGAGACACCATGACCATGACAACTCTTGTAAAGGAAAACATTTAATTGGGATGGCTCACTTACAGTTCCAAGGTATTATTGGCTAGCTCTGTCTTAATTATTGACCCAATTATATTAATCTAAGTATTTCCACGTTGTCTTATCTTACCTGGGTATGCCAGACCTTCCACTCCTTTGCCTGCTACATGATGACTGCTCAGCATCTCCATAGAGAAGAGGAGCACAATTTCCTCTTTGTCTCTGCTTATATCCTGATTCTGACTAGCTACATCACTTCCTGTCTGGCCAATCAGACAATCAGTGTTTTATTCATGAACCAATAAGAAAAACAAATATACAGAAAGACTTCTCCCCATCAGCTGAGTAATACTGCATTGTGTAAATGTGCCACATCTTTTGATGAGGGACACTGACGTTTTTTCCAATCACTGGCTATTATGAATAAAACAGCAATACAAATGGATGAGAAAGTGTCTCTGTGGTAGGATGGAGCATTCTTTGGGTATATGCCCAAGAATAGTATCGTTGGATCTTGATGTGGATCAATTTACTTCTTCGTGAGGAACTGTCATATTGATTTCCATAGTGGCCACTTAAGTTTGCACTCCCACAAGCAATGGATGACTGTTCCCCTTGCTCCACACCCTCACCAGAATGAGCTGTTACTTGTTTTATTGATCTCAGCCATTCTGGTGGTTGTAAGATGGAATCTCAAAGTAGCTTTGGTTTTTCATATCCCTAATGATTAAAGGTGTTGAACATTTCTTTAAGAGCTTCCCAGACATCTGTGTTTTCTCTTTTCATAACTCTGTATCTAGGTCTGTGCTACATTTTTAAATTAAGTTATTTGATGTCCAGTTTTTTCGTTCTTTATATATTTTGGATATTAGCCTTCTATCTGATATCCCAGGATATTTTAAAGTTCTTGAGGCCATCATGAAACGTGTTGCTTACCTGATTACTTTCTCAATCCCTTAGTCATTAGTAAATAAGAAAGCTACTGATTTTGTGAATTAATTTTGTATCCAGTTACTTTGCTAAAAGTGTTTACCAGCTGTAGGAGTTTGCTGATGGAATTTTTAGATTTATACTATTATATCATCTGCAAAAAGAAAAAAAAGATAACATAGGCTTCTTTTTCTCCAGTTCTCTAGATCTCCTTCAGTATCCTTATTGCTTTAGCTCAAACTTTAAGTAGGCTACTGAATAGATATGGAAAGAGTGGACAACCTTGTCTTGTTCCTGGTTTTAGTGGAATTGCTTTGAAATTCTTTCCATTTAAGTTAATGTTGGCTATGAGTTTTCTGTAAACTACTTTTATAATGTTGAGGTATGTCTTTTGTAGCTTTAATCTCTCTGGGACTTGTATATTAAAGGGGTATTGAATTTTGCCAAAAGCCTTTTTCTGCTCCTAATGAGACAATCATGTAGTTTATTGTCTTTCAGTCTGTTTATATGCTGGATTGTGTTGATTGATTTACAACTGTTAAAGCATCCCAGCTCTTGTGGGATAAAGCCTACTTGAACATGGTGGATGGCCTTTTTAATGTGTTCTTGGATTTAGTTCCCAAGTATTTCATTGAGAATTTTTCCATCTGTGTTCATAAGGGAAGTTGATCTGTTTCTTTCTTTGTTGCACTATATATGGTTCAGTTATCAGGGTAACTGTGGTCTCATAAAATGGACTGGGCAAAGTTTCTTTTGATTCTACTTTGTGGAATAATTTGAGAAGTATTGGCATTAACTCTTCTTCGAAAGTCTGGTAGAATTCTGTACTAACACCACTTGGTCCTGGGCTTTATATTGGGAGATTTTAAATATTACTCCTATTTCACTAAGAGTGGTGGGTCTGTTTAAATTGATTATCTGATCTTAATTTAACTATGGTAGGTATTATGTATCAAGAAAATTATCCACTTCTTTTACATTTTCCAATTTGTCATGGGGGTACAGTTTTTTAAAGTATGTCCATATGATTCTCTGGATTTCCTCTCTGTCTGTTGTTTTGTCCCCCCTTTCATCTCTAATTTTGTTAATTTGCATCTGCTGTTTCTACCTTTTAGTTAGTGTGACTAAGGGTTTGTCAATTATATTAATTTTCTCAAGAAACTAACTCTTTGCTTCATTAATTCTTTGTGTTGTTTTTGTTTCTATTTTATTGATTTCAGTTCTGAGTTTGGTTATTTCTTGCCATCTACTCCTTTTGAGTGTGATTTCTTCTTTTTGTTCTATTCAGGTTTGCTATTAAGTTGATAGTATGAAATCCCTCCAATTTTTTATGTAGGTACTTAATGCTAGGAACTTGACTCAGAGACTGCCTTTATTGTGTACCATAAATTTGGATATGTTGTGTACTCATTTTCATTCAATGTTAGGAAATCTTTAATTTCTGTCTTGACCTATTTTTCATTAAGTAGTGAGTTGTTCAATTTCCACGAGTTTATAAGCTTTCTGGTTTTTTTTTCTCCTGTTGATATTCAGCTTTAATCCATGATGGACAGATAGTGAGTAGAGTGTTATTTCATATTTTTTATCTCTTAAGATTTGTTTTGTTTATGACTCTATGCCAAGTTTGTAGAAATTCCATAATTATTGAGAAGAAAATACATTTCCTATGTTTTCTTTAGATGTTTTGTAAATATCCGTT